TTCTGATATTTACAGTTTGTGTTGAGTCAGAGTGATGATGTCGTCATAAAAACTCAACTCTCAATAAAACTTTCAATAAAAATCCATAAAACTGCGTCATATAAACAACAAAACAAAACTGTGCAGGATCAAGACTCTCCGGGGCTTTAGTTTTGAAGATCAGAAAACCGTGTTACAGTAAAAACTCGCTGCAACTGAACATTTGGTAACAGATTGTCGTTCCTTTTTCAATTTGGCGAAACGTCAGATTTGTGTTTCCGTGGGCCGGTCCTGTCCTGCAGGGTTAAAATTTAAGTGTAAAATATTTCACAAAAATTTGTTAAATGTAGGTTGGATTTGGGATTATTTGCCAGAGTTGATTTGGTTGAAGTGAATTAAATTTCCCCTTGTGTTAATTTGGCTCCTCCCACCACCACAAAGACCAGATTGAACCAGTTTTGTTCATAATTTCATCTTGACTCGACTCGGACTTATGACTCGAGACTCGACTTAGATTTGACTTGGACTTATGGGCCAGTGACTCGAGACTCACTTGGACTTGACTCGGACTTATGGCTAGTGACTCCAGACTCGACTCGGGACTGACTCGGACTTATGGGCTAGTGACTCCAGACTCGACTCGGACTTGACTCGGACTTATGGGCCAGTGACTCCAGACTCGACTCGGACTTGACTCGGACTTGACTCGGACTTGACTCGGACTTGATTCGGACTTGTGGGCCAGTGACTCCAGACTCGACTCGGACTCGACTCGGACTTGACTCGGACTTGACTTGGACTTATGGGCCAGTGACTCCAGACTCGACTCGGACTCAACTCGGACTTGACTCGGACTTGACTTGGATTTATGGGCCAGTGACTCCAGACTCGACTCGGACTCGACTCGGACTTGACTTGGACTTATGGGCCAGTGACTCCAGACACGACTTGGACTTTCCTGTATTTGTCTTGGGACTGGACTTGACTCGGACTTGAGGTCAAAGACTTGAGACTCGACTTGAGGCTCGTAAAACGACGACTCGGTCCCGCCTCTGCCTTTTAACTTCAGTTCCAGTCGAGATCGGCGACTTCCAGAGCTGAAACGATCCGAACGACGTCAAGTGTCATGTGACCCGTTGCACCACGTGACATCACCAGGTGGAACAGAGTGTTTTCAGTGTGAGAGAAGTTAAACGTGTGTGAAATAAAAACTCCAGGTCTGTTTGGGACGAGGAAACGTCTGTAAATGAAATGACTGACAGCGTGAGCCTCTGATCTGACATTCTCTCGTTTAAATATTTCGAGGTGAAACTAAACACGGCCCTGGTTCAGATCTGGACCGGGTCTGGGTCCGGGTCTGGGTCCTGGGTCTGGGTCTGGGTCTGGGTCCGGGTCTGGATTTCGTCTCCTCTCCGTGTTTGTGACGTGGAGCAGGTTCAGTCTCGGTCTCTGTGTGTGACTGAACGAACTGGTCATGAGGCCGACAGACGAACAACGACAGAACGAAACAAAACAACTGACGTGTACTCAAACAACCAGGTCTGGTTTAGTCCTGGTTTAGACCTGGTTTAGACCTGGTTTAGACCTGGTTTAGACCTGGTTTAGTCCTGGTTTAGACCTGGTTTAGTCCTGGTTTAGTCCTGGTTTAGACTGGTTTAGTCCTGGTTTAGTCCTGGTTTAGTCCTGGTTTAGACTTGTTTAGACCTGTTTAGACCTGGTTTAGACCTGGTTTAGACCTGGTTTTAGTCCTGGTTTAGTCCTGGTTTAGTCCTGGTTTAGTCCTTGTTTAGTTTAGACCTGGTTTTACCTGGTTTAGTCCTGGTTTAGTCCTGGTTTTAGTCCTGGTTTAGTCCTGGTTTAGTCCTGGTTTAGTCCTGGTTAGACTTGGTTTAGACCTGGTTTAGACCTGGTTTAGTCCTGGTTTAGACCTGGTTTAGTCCTGGTTTAGTCCTGGTTTAGTCCTGGTTTAGACTTGGTTTAGACCTGGTTTAGTCCTGGTTTAGTCCTGTCCTGGTTTAGTCCTGTTCCTGTTAGTCCGGTTTAGTCCTGATTAATCCTGGTTTAGTCCTGGTTTAGTCCTGTTTAGTCCGGTTTAGTCCTGGTTGGTTTAGTCTGTTTAGTTTAGTCTGGTTTAGTCCTGGTTTAGCTGGTTTAGTCTGGTAGTCCTGGTTTAGTCCTGGTTAGACCTGGTTTAGTCCTGTTTTGTCCTGTTTACCTGGTTTAGTCCTGGTTTTCTGGTTTATCCTGGTTTAGACCTGGTTTAGTCCTGTTTTGGTCCTGGTTTAGACCTGGTTTAGTCCTGGTTTAGTCCTGGTTTTTAGTCCTGTTTTTCGTTTAGTTTCCTGGTTTGGTTTAGTCCTGTTTCAATCCTGGTTTAGATCTGGTTCCCATGTTTTAGAACTGGTTTAGTTCTGGTTTAGTCCTGATGTTTTATATTTTTTTTATGTTAAAACATGATTCTTCATCAGAGTAAAAAAAAAACCCACTCAAATATCAATAATTTTTACTTTTTTTTGTTTTGTTTTGTTTGTTTTTTCGTTTGGTTTTCGGGGCTGGAGGTGGGTCACATCGACGGCGTCACACATCACGTTCCCCGTCTTTAAAACTCCCGATCCGGACTCCGATCTGGACGAGACAGATGTTTTTTTAATAGCATCTTTTAAAAACACATTTTTTCCGCGGATCCGTTCAGACTCAGGTTAATCGCTGCATAAATATTCAAGTATTCATCCGCCGAGCCAAAGTGCGGCGATGCCAGTGTGAGAAAAGACACGACCCCGAGCCAAAGACAAAAATGTGCAATAAAACACAGCGTGAAAACCAAATGAAGGGAAACTCCTGAGTCTAAACCTGCTACAGGCCTGGGTTAGTCCTGGTTTACACCTGGTTTAGACCTGGTTTAGTCCTGGTTTAGACCTGGTTTAGTCCTGGTTTAGTCCTGGTTTAGTTCCTGGTTTAGTCCTGGTTTAGTCCTGGTTAGTCCTGGTTTAGTCCTGGTTTAGTCCTGGTTTTAGTCCTGGTTTAGTCCTGGTTAGTCCTGGTTTAGTCCTGGTTTAGTCCTGGTTAGTCTGGGTTTAGTCCTGGTTTAGTCCTAGGGTTTAGTCCTGGTTTAGTCCTGGTTTAGTCCTGGGTTAGTCCTGGTTTAGTCCTGGTTTCTGGTTTAGTCCTGGTTTAGTCCTGGGTTAGACCTGGTTTAGTTTTGGTTTAGTCCTGGTTTAGTCCTAGTTTAGTCCTGGGTTAGTCCTGGTTTAGTCCTGGTTTAGTCCTGGTTTAGTCCTGGTTTAGTCCTGGTTTAGTCCTGGTTTAGGGTTAGTCCTGGTTTAGTTCCTGGTTTAGTCCTGGGTTAGTCCTTGGTTTTAGTCCTGGTTTAGTCCTGGTTTAGTCCTGGTTTAGTCCTGGGTTAGTCCTGGTTTAGACCTGGTTTAGTTTAGTCCTGGTTTAGTCCTGGTTACCTGGTTTAGTCCTGGTTTTAGTCCTGGTTTCCTGGTTAGTCCTGGTTTAGTTTCCTGGTTTAGTTTAGTCCTGGTTTAGTCCTGGTTTAGTCCTGGTTTAGTCCTGGGTTAGTCCTGGTTTACAGGTGGTTTAGATATGGACGTGGACATGGTTTACACTTGGCATGGTCTGTCCTAATTTGGTCCTGGTTTAGACCTGGTTTAGTCCGGGTTTAGCCCGGATTTAGCCCTGATTTAGTCCTGATTTAGTCCTGGTTTAGTTCCTGATTTAGTCCCTTTGTCTATGGTGGTTTAGTCTTTTGATTTTGTCTTTTAGCTTAGTCCTGACTGAGTCCTGGTTTAGTCCTGGTTTAGTTTACCTGGTTTTAGTTTTCTGGTTTAGTCCTGGTTTATTTAGTCCTGGTTTTTAGTCCTGGTTTAGTTTATCCTGGTTTAGACCTGGTTTAGTTTTCCTTCCTGGTTTAGTCCTGGTTTAGTCCTGGTTTAGTCCTGGTTTAGTCCTGGTTTGGTTTAGTCCTGGTTTAGTCCTGGTTTAGTCCTGGTTTAACCTGGTTTAGTCCTGGTTTAGTCCTGGTTTAGTCCTGGTTTAGTCCTGGTTTAGTCCTGGTTTAGATTTAGTCCTGGTTTAGTCCTGGTTTACTGGTTTAGTCCTGGTTTAGTCCTGGTTTAGTCCTGTTTAGTTTACCTGGTTTAGTCCTGGTTTAGTCCTGGTTTAGTCCTGTTTAGTCCTGGTTTACCTGGACCTGGTTAGTCCTGGTTTAGTCCTGGTTTAGTCCTGGTTTAGACCTGGTTTAGTCCTGGTTTATCCTGGTTTAGTCCTAGGTTTAGTCCTGGTTTAGTCCTGGTTTAGTTTTCCTGGTTTAGTCCTGGTTTAGTCCTGGTTTAGTCCTGGTTTAGTCCTGGTTTAGACCTGGTTTAGTTACCTGGTTTAGACCTGGTGGTTTATGGTTTTAGTCCTGGTTTAGTCCTAGTTTAGTCCTGGTTTAGTCCTGGTTTAGTCCTGGTTTAGTCCTGGTTTTAGTCCTGGTTTAGTCCTGGTTTAGTCCTGGTTTAGTCCTGGTTTAGTTCCTGGTTTAGTCCTGGTTTAGTCCTGGTTTAGTTCCTGGTTTAGTCCTGGTTTAGTCCTGGTTTAGTCCTGGTTTAGTCCTGGTTTAGTCCTGGTTTAGTCCTGGTTTAGTCCTGGTTTTGTCCTGGTTTAGTTTCCTGGTTTAGTCCTGGTTTAGTCCTGGTTTAGTCCTGGTTTAGTCCTGGTTTAGACCTGGTTTAGTCCTGGTTTAGTCCTGGTTTAGTTTAGTCCTGGTTTAGACCTGGTTTAGACCTGGTTTAGTCCTGGTTTAGACCTGGTTTACCAGTAACATAAATCCTCTTTTCTTTTCCAGATCTGTGACATCGCCATAAACTGGGCGGGAGGTTTGCATCACGCCAAGAAGTTTGAGGTAAAAAAAACAACAACATTATTATTATTTTTTAAACTTTATCTACATAATTTTTTACTTCAAATGTCAAATTTGGTTAAAGTTTCTGTAAAACAAAATAAACCGTTGTGTTTCAGGCGTCTGGGTTTTGTTA